ATTCCCTTCCTCCTTTTTCTTTTGCCTTTTTTTTTTCTCTTCTTCTTTTTTTTTTGCCTTTTTTTTTCTTTTTTTTTTTCTTCAACCCATAATTCCCCCTTTAATACTCCAATATATTACAATATCTCTCTTTTTAAAAAAAATTTAGTCCCTAAAATTTCGTTACATTACTTCTAAAAGTTGTGGATGGTTGACTCTCATCTCGTCTTCTCATTCCCAGGTTGTCTCCTTATTAGTATGATGCTGCCACAACACCTTTACCATAGGTATCATCCTACTCCTTAACTTTCTCTCTTGCCGCTCAAGAACATGGATCAGCTTCTCCTCATAAGTTAAATCTTCCCCCAACTGAAGGGCTTCATATTGTGTAATGTGAGTTAGTTTGGGTTGATACTTCCGTAACATCGACACATGAAACACATCATGCATCCCCGCATACCTTGGAGGAAGAGCTAATATAAAAGCAATTGTACCCACTTTCTTAAGGATCTTAAAAGGCCCAATGAACCAATGACTCAGTTTTTCCCTTTTTCCAAACCTTAACATGCCCTTTATTGACAACACTTTTAAGAATACATGATCTTCGACCTCAAACGTCAAATCCCTTCTTCGATGGTCTGTATAAATTTTCTACCTACTCTGTGCCACTTGTAGATTCTTTTTTATTACTAACACCTTTGCAATAGTTTCTTCCACTAATTTCGGTCCTAACAACCGTCTCTCTCCAACCTCTGCCCAACAAATTATTGACCGACATGGCCTGCCATAGGGAGCCTCATAGGGGGTCATTCTAAAATTGGCATGATAGCTATTATTGTAGACGAATTCCATTAAGGATAACAACTCCTCCCAGCTTCCTCCAATATCTAATATACATGCCCGTAACATGTTCTTTAATACTAGCATGGTCTTCTTAGTTTGCTCATCGGTTTGAAGATGGAATACCGTACTAAAATTTAATTTTGTACCCACGACCTGTTATAAACTCCTCCAAAATTTGAACTTGAACCGGAGATCTCTATTGGAAATAATTAAGATGGGAATCCCATATAATCTAACTACCTCTCTAACATGCAATCTGGTTAACTGATCCACCAAATCAGAAATCTTTATAACTAGAAAATGAGACGACTTAGTTAGACGGTCCAAAATCACCTAGATGCTATCCTTATTCTTACTATTTCTTGGTAGCTCGGTCATAAAATCCATTGAGATGTATTCCTACTTCCACTTTGGCATTGGTAAAGGTTGTAACAGTCCTCTAGGTTTCTGATGTTCAACTTTTACTTGTTGACACATTAAGCACGGTGACACAAATTTTGTAATGTCTCGTCTCATCTTGTTCCACCAGTAAAATTTCTGTAGATTCTTATACATCTTAGTACTCCCAGGATGCATCGTAAATCTTTTGTTGTGTGCCTCTATGAGAATATCCTCCCATAAGCCATTGTCACTAGGGACACACATCCAATTCCTATATCTGAGAACTCCATCCCCATGTATACTAAATTATGTTGATACTCCTTGTTTTACTCCTCTCTTAGTCGACTGTAAACTTGTATCGGACTTCTGACCTTCCTTGATCTTCTGAATCAATGTTGGTTAAGCTCTCAAACTAGCCACATACTTACTTCGATGTTGTCTTCATATCTCCATCTGTTGCATGGTTTTGCATAATTCCCATTCAGATACCATCAAGTGTGCCAGTACCACTGTATCCTTCCAGCTTAAAGCATCAGTTACTATACTCTTTTTTTTTGGGTGATAACGGAACCTACAGTAAAAATCTTTTAACAAATCCATCCACCACTTCTGTCGCATATTGAGTTCCCTCTGTGTAAACAAATATTGTAAGCTTTTATGATCCGTATAAATTTCAAAAGTATCTCCATACAAGTAATGTCGCCATAACTTTAGTGTATATACCACTATCGCTAACTCCAAGTCATGTGTCGAGGAGTGTCTTTCATATATTTTTAATTGTCTTGACCTATAAGTAATTACTCTACCATGTTGCATCAATACACACCTCAACCCTAAACGGGAGGTATTATTATACACTGCATAGCCCCCGTCCCCAGAAGGAATGAACAATACTGGATTAGTAGTGAGTTTATGCTTGAGTTGATTAAAACTATTCTCACAACTGTCGTTCCACTCAAACTTTGTATTCTTTTTGGTCAACTTGGTTAGTGGTGCCGCAATACTCGAGAACCCCTTAACAAATCGACAATGATACCCTGTTAATCTTAAAAAACTTCTGATCTTATTCACTGTGCTCGGTCTATCCCATTTCACTATAGCCTCCACCTTTGCAGGATCTACAAAAATTTTATCCCTTGATACAATGTGTCCTAAAAACGATATCTGATCTAACCAAAACTCACATTTACTAACCTTGGCATACAACTTTGCCTTCTAAAGCATCTCCAATACTACAGCCAAATGTCCAGCATGTTTTTTTTTGAGTTTTTAGAATATATTAGTATGTTATTAATAAAAACAATCACATAACGATCCAAAAATGGTATGAATACCCTATTTATTAAATCTATGAATACCGGTGGCGCAATCATTAACCCAAAAAGTATAAGCAGGAACTCGTAATGCCCATACCTGGTGTGGAATATCGTCTTTGCTTTATCCTTTACTCTAATCCTCACCTGGTGGTACCTGGAGCGCAAGTTTATTTTTGAAAATACTTGAACTCCCTGCAACTGATCAAATAGGTCATCTGTCCTTGGCAGTGGATACTTGTTTTTTATAGTCACTTGGTTCATGTCCCTGTAGTTTATACACATTCTCATGGTTCCATATTTCTTTTTCACAACACGGGTGCGCCTCAGGGTGATACGCTAGACCTTATGAACTTTTTATCTAATAACTCTTGTAACTGTTTACTCAACTCTAACCATTCTAACCTTGTCATCCTGTATGGGGCCTTGGAAATAGATTGAGTCTCTGGTTGTAGCTCTATAGTGAATTCGACCTCTTTATCTGGCGGCAGCCCAGGAAGGTCATCCGAAAATACATAAGGAAAGTCCCTAACCACATGGATTTCCTAATGTGTGATCTTTTTACTCCCGTTCCCTAACAAATACACTTGTGAGAACTTACTTGAAATTGACATACTCATGATCATTAATCACATTATAACAAAAAATATCATGCTTAACGAATGCAGAACAAAATAAATAAAAATATATCCACCATTTTTTTTTTCTACCCATTCACCCTAACCCCTTGCATTTTGTTAACACTTACGTCACATTGTGTTCATCTATTAGTATATATATACGTACTTGTATATATATTTTGTTATATGGAAAAAAAGCTCCTCGTTAGGGATTCTAAACACAACTTCCTTATAATTATAAAAATAATCTATATGTGCATGATGTGCAGCTAACCAATTCATACCTAATATTACATCAAAAATCTATAATACCTAATAAGATCAAATATACTTCCAATTCGCTCCTAACTACTTTTATCTTACACGATTTATATACTACATCAGTATGCAGTGCACCACTAGTTAGCATGGATATTATGACCATCCAGTCTAACCTCACTTACTCTACCTTCAACCTAGGTGCAAACATATTTAAATTACATAATCTTTTTATATTTGAATTTATAAAAAATTATACTATTTAGACTTCTCTATCCTCCATAAAAAGTAAATTTGAATTTATTCTGAATTCATAACCTTTTTGAATCTTTTGAATTTTTTTTTAAAATTATTTTTAGTTTGAGAGTTATCCTATCTAAAATATATATATATATATATATATATATATAACAAGTTGATATAAATTTTTAAAAGGTCAAACTTAAACTCATTTATATGATAATATAAAAGACACCCACTTGAAAAAAAAAAAAAAAGTCATATCATATCAAATTGATAGGTGTAGACTAATTTTTTGAGATGTGCATGTGATCTAAATGTCTCACAAAAGTAAAGCATGTTATAAATTCTCAATTACCCAAATAAAAACTTGTAACAAAATGCCAAAAGGACAAACAAACAACAAGAAGAAGTAAATTGGCCAAAAAAATTGGAACCAAACAACAAGAAAAAGTCATAATTGCAAATAGGAAAAAAAAGATGTGGACAAGTCACCTTCCTCCTCTTGGTAACCTAACAAGTAACAAGTCCAAGACTTTTCAAAATCCATACCCATGTGAAAATATTTTTAACATAATTTGAAAAAAATGTATATAAAAATTACTTCAATTTTATAATTTTTTTTAAAAAATATATATATATATAAATTATTATTTTTATATAAAATATTGATTGTCAAAAATGTTATGTTTAATAGGATTTTGAATTTTATTATTTTTTTAATCTCATTAATGGTTACAAAATTACCACATAATTATTATTTATTTAAATAAATGATATATTTATTTTTAAAATAAAATATTATAAATTATTTTATTTATATTGTGTTATAATTTGTGTATTCATATATTAATTAGTTAATTAATTAAAAAAAATTGTAATTTAATCCAAACATTGATGAAAGTTATGATTATTTACTAGCTAGTTGATATAGTACAAGTCATCTTATAATTTTTGATTGGATGTGATACATACATGGATATATATATGTAAAATAAATATATCTAAGTTACTCATATATGTGATTTTCTCAAGGGGAGAGATAAATATATGTATATATATATGTAAAATAAATTATATCTTAAGTGGGCTAGTTTCTTTTTTTATTTATTATAATTATACCTCTTGTTGTATTCAACCAAAACTACCTTTTATTTAATTTTAAAAGGCACAACCGTCAAGGTGAAGATCAGAAGATTAATTAATTAATTAATATTTTAATAATAACAGACAGGAATTGTAAACATTAAAAAAAACAAAACAAAAAAAAAAACAGAACAGAAACAGAAAAGGAAAGCTGAGCTACGCGCACCAAGAAACTGCTTGTGCATAAAGTTCACTTCACTCCATAAACGACTCCACTTTGTTTTCTTCTCATTTTCTTTTTCTACCTCCATTAGCAATCTCTCTCTCTCTCTCTCTTTCTCTGTGTATTTTCTCTTAGAGGAGAAGCAAATGAGCCGCCTTGCGCCATTATCAGAAGAGCCCATAAACGAGGAAGAAGACAACAGTACAGGTTCTTCAAAGAAAGCTCATTCATGGAAGAACTGGTTCAGGACCCACCTCTCTCTTGTCTTCAACAAGAAATCTGACCTTAAGATCCTCTTAAGCGTTCTGGGTTGCCCTCTTTTCCCTGTCTCAATCCACCCTAAACCAGAAATCAACGAGGTACTTTTGGTTTTAATCGTGTTGGGTTCATTTTTATTAGGTCCAAAATGCAGTGTGTTCAAATAAAGTTTCTTCCTTTCTTCATCTCTTTTACTTTTCATTAATATTTCCCATAGATTTTCTGTATCCAACCTTAAAAAGACTTCTGGGTATGCTAGCTAGTAAGTAAAATAGTAGTGGGTTTGTTTGTTAAGGTTCTAGTTTTTTATTTTTTGAGAAGTGAGATCTTCTTGGTGAATTTTTTAGTCATAATGTACAGATTGATTCAGTGAAACTAAGAAAAGACTCAATTTTGAAATGTAATAATCTAAATTTGTTAATGGGAAAGTTATAATTTTTTATTTTTTTGATCAAGTTCTTATCTTTAGTGGCAAAAAGAAGAATGCATATGGCTGTATTGTTCTCTTTCTGCAATATGCTCGCACTGTCCCCACTATCATCCCACCATGGAAGCATCCCTGGATAAAAAAAAGAAGCTTTTTAGTCCAAAACATCATGTGGGTCCGACCTAAATATGAGCAAAACATAAAGCATAAAGTTTCTTTTTTTAAATAATTTCTGATGGTCTTTATTGATTTAGCTCATTGGGGTACTAAACAAGATTAATTAGTGTTTAATTTAGTTTAATTAATTAATTAATTCGAACAGGTTTCGTCATCAGCCCAGTACATCATCCAGCACTTCACAGCAGCTACAGGGTGCAGGAAACTAGAGGGGAGAGTGAAGAACATCTTTGCAACAGGGAAGGTGACGATGACAATGGTGGAGGAACTTGGCGCCGGCTCAACCGGCTCGGCTGCCGGAGGAGCCACCGGAGTTTCTCAAAAGGGTTGCTTCGTAATGTGGCAAATGCTGCCAAACAAGTGGTTGATTGAGCTGGTGGTTGGTGGCCACAAGGTGGTTGCTGGAAGTGATGGCAACGTGGCTTGGCGCCACACGCCCTGGCTCGGAGCCCACGCTGCCAAAGGCGGCGTCCGTCCTCTGCGCCGAGCTCTCCAGGTAAGAAATCAGTAATAATTATAAATTTAATTCTTTATAAATATATCAGGAATGATTGTTGGTTTCCAGACTATGAAACCAGATATCCATATCTCCCAATATACCGGATCATGTTTCCTAGGTTGCTTCTGGAGCATGTTGTCACTTCAATCATGTTCGTAGATGAAATACATAGGAAAGAGATTTATCACATATCAATTTCTTTAACAGTAGATAATTCAAACTAACAATTCTAATAAAAAATAAATACTAAATTTATTATTGACATGTATGTGTATGTAAGTGTACACATATCGAATAGTATTGGTAAATTACTAAGAACTGTTAAAAGATCAGGTGAGATCAAATTATAATCCATTGTTAAAATCGTGCAGGGACTCGATCCTCTTGCAATTTCGAGTGTATTCTCGTCAGCACAGTACATAGGTGAGAAGAAAATGCAAGGCACAGAGTGTTTCGTCCTGAAAATATCAGCCAACCAGACGGACTTAGCCGAAAGAAGTGACAGCATAGCAGAGATGATCAAACATGTAATGTTTGGCTATTTTAGTCAAAGAAGTGGACTGCTAGTGTACTTAGAAGACTCATATTTAACAAGAATTCAATCACCAGGATCTTACCCTACATATTGGGAGACCTCAATGACCACCAAAATACAGGATTACACCCTTACAGAAGGAGTGAAGGTTGCTCATTCTGGTCATTCAAGTGTGTTCATTACCAGATTTGGTGACAATTTGAAGTCAGGTCTTGCCGTGACTCGGATGGAGGAGACTTGGGTCATCGATGATGTTGCCTTTAATGTTGCGGGATTGTCAGATGATTGTTTCATTCCGCCTACTGAAGTGCAGAGGAATTTTTCTGAGGAGGATGTTGATTGGAAATCGAGTATAAACAATTCTTGATTACTGGAGTTAAAAAGAGTGTTTGAATATTTCAAGGAGATATAAACATATACATAGCATGTATATGGTGTTTCAAACTTAGTTGATTACCCTGTTAATTATTTTTACCTGTAACCTTGATTAGAATGGGGGATGCTTTAGTAATTTTCAGTGTATACATATGTGTGGGTATATGTATGTGTAACATATGTAATACATTTTGTTTAGAATAACTCACCAAAGATCAGTGTATGCATGTACATATATATATATATATATGTGGGTATGTATGTGTAACATAAGTAATACATTTTGTTTAGAATAACTCGCCAAAGATCCAGGAGGGTACTGGTTAATTAGTCATTTACACATGATTAGGGCTTGTTAGCATTTTATATATATATATATATATATAGATATACGGGGTAAATTTTATTACATTTTTGGGAAATTTTTGTCTTTAATAACAGTAAAAAAATTACATTCTTTTCATTCTTTTTTTTTTTTGTTTTAGATTTTCTACTGTTTTTTCAAATAGAAAACATTAATTATAATGTATATATATATGTATATATGAAGAAAATTGGTTTTGGGAGAGGACATCGTATTACCCCAACTGCGAAAGTCAAAGTTCATGAGGAAGGAAAAGAATGTCAGCATTCAGTTTGAGCCGTTATAGCCGTTGGATTCCTCGACTGAAAACTCTGCAATTGCAAAGTAAACAACTTTCTTCATCGTCCTTCTTCTCCACCACTGCAGATAATGAGAGCCCGAGGAAACCCTCCCCGCCTCCGATCCGAATCGGACTCACTGAGTCTGCGGGTCGGGGTGTGTTCGCCACTCGGAGAATCACGGCGGGGGAACTCATACACACTGCCAAACCCATTCTATCCCACCCTTCTCTTTCCTCCATTAATAATGTCTGTTACTTTTGCCTCAGAAAGCTAAAGGGTTCGACTTCAACAGATTCTCGGGCCAGAAACGTTTCGTTTTGCAGTGAAGAATGTATGAAGAACTCTAAGGTATTGTGCGTTATTGTTGTTTGCTTTTTATGTTCATCTTTTGCCTTTCATCTGTTTCTTTCGCTGTTTATTGTGTTTCCCTGTCATATAATTTTGATGGGTTTTAAATTGTCTGTCACTGGGTTGTGATATGAGAAGGAAGGTGAGAAAGTTCTAAGCTTTGGATAATGCCCACCAGGTGTTCGATGTTTTGTTTCTAATGGTTCTAATTAATACCTATGTGTAAACCAAGCGTAAGGATTAGATTATTTTTATGTTGGGTTTTTGCTCTGAATCTTTTGATTTTCTGTAAACGCTTCCGTATTGTTCTCTTTGGATTAAGTAGGATTCATCTAAATGAAATAGGGAAAAAAGATATGGTTTTTTTACTCGAGTATTTGTATCTATAATTTTGGGTAATTAGTTCACATCCATTTGCTCGAGGTTTTTCTTAGCAACATTATCAAAATGATTAATCGGGCTGCTCTTGTTCCTCATTTTGTCCTTTTGATTCTTTCAATTTTCTTTATTTGCACATATTAATTAGTGAACGAGAGTATAGTTTCTTAAGAGCTTGCGTATTTTGTTTCAGAATTTTCAAACTATGCATCATTTTGGTCTAATCGGTATTATTACCTTCATGCATTTTCAGAGATTTTATGATGTTGAAACAAGCGTGGATTGGTTCAACTTTGATGAGTATTGTAGGTATGAAGACTTCTTCGATTGTGATGAATGTTCGATTCTTTTACTACAAATTGTTTGTGCAGCAATGGAGATCCAATTCTTTTACTACAAATTTGTTCGTGCAGCGATGAAAATTCAGTGTCATCTGATACCATTCTTTCTTATTAATGTTTTAAGTACTTTCGCACATGTGTATGTGGTTTACAGCCCAATTTCATCATGATAAATTGTTGCTACGCATAGAGGTCTTTTAGGTACTTGGCTACTAAATCATACCCTGCAATATAGTATTCTCGAGGTAGTTTCTCTTGTCCCATGGTTAAGAATTGTTACCCTCTAATTCTCTACCTTCTTCATTTGTTCCTTAAGGACTAAAGATACATCTGGCTTTTTCTGTACTGTAGTAGGCTCCATTTGGTTGTTTTCCTGTATTGCTTTTTTTTTTCTTTTTGGTATTGGTTTTAGAAAGTAGTGTTCCATTATATATTTCTTAAATGCTTCTAGAAGTTTTCAATTCAAAAAAGCAAAATTTGCTATTTTTAAGAACATAAACAAACATAAATATTTTGTACAGCATATTAGTAATATTTAATTAAAAATAATTTATCAAACACTATGTTTCTTTTGATAATACAAATTTTTAACGACAGCAACTAAAAGGTAACTTTTATGAGAATAATTTTTTTTCCCCACAGAAGTCGTACTTGAGATCTAACAGTTAGATATATTCAGAAAAACACACTATCTGACCTGACAGGGATGCATCTAAACATTTAGACTGTTTAAGGATTTCTGGGAACATTTCTCTTATCTCTTGCTTGCTCGCATGCTCATTCTCTGGCTAGTAGAGATTTAAGCCTACTTGTTAATGAGAGAGATTGGAGGCAGTGTTTTATTGTCATTATTATTATTATTATTATTTCCAATCTTCCTTATATTTTTCTACAACTTTGCTTACAATTATGAGAAGAAGAATGCTGCTAGTTATTTCCCACCACATGCTGGTGATAAGAGTATTCAAATTTCTGTCTGTACCAGAAAGTTTGGACCAGACCGGGCCATTTGGTCCAGACCGGGCCAACATTGACTGGATTACAAAGATTAAAAAAATAAAAAAATAACTCAAATTTTGAAAAAAAAAAAAGAAAAGAAATTCTGTCCTTTTCTATCCAATCTTCAGTCAAAACCTCTTCCCTTATTTGGTCCTTGGTCTGGTCCAGTTGGTTCTTGCCTGATTAACACCCCTACCTGGTGAAATGTTGATATTAGCGATTGTATTTGTAAGTTCTTGCCTGATTCCATTATTATTTTTTTCCAATCTTCCGTTTATTTTTCAGCAACTTTGTTTACAATTTTTTTTTTTGAAATATAGCAACTTCGTTTCCAATTATGAGAAGAAAAATGCTGCTAATTGTTTCCCAACACAAGCTGATGAAATAGTGTGTGATCATATTCATAAGTTCACGGAAGTCTAAATATGGGCAAAGTGATATTGTTTGTTTTACTGTAATCCAGTGTGGTTATGTTACATGTGAGATTGATCTTTTAATATCTCTTTCAGTTTGTATTAGGACTGTGCAGCTTACATTCATATCATTTTAGTATTATTAAAGTTTCCATTACGCAGATCTCTTATTGGGGGCTTTCTGATGGTATAGGATCCAAAATTTTAAATATCCTCATCTGGTTAAGCGGTTGGCTTGTATGGTTGTATCAGGAGCTGCATCTGCAGACAGTCTTGACATACTTCAGCCAGCTAGTTTGAGTCCTGAGATGATATTACAGGTCAGATCCTAGTAAAATTTGCAACAGGCAAAAGGTGGTTTTGGAAATTTGCATAACTTAAAGAGTATTTTAACAGATAGTTTAGAATGCAAACTCTGGTAATATGACCATATGTTTATCTATAGCAATCATATTCAGGTAGAAGAAGGATTTGATTTGCTACAGAGTGCTTTCACAAGGGCAAATATTGCAGATGAGCATCTGGCTTGTATCCTCATTATCCCTTAACATTTTGTTATATATTGAGTTTGCTGGTATTATTATGTCTCCCATCTCTTGTGGAAAAGTGTCCCTAACATTGTAAGTCCTAACCAGGCAATGGTATACTGGTGTGCTCGCACGGATTCGTATAAATGCATTCCGTGTTGAGTTGGCTGGAGGATTGTATGAAGATCTTCTATTACTAGCTGCAGCTTCAGTAGAAGCCGAAGCCGCTGTCGGAAATGCTATCTATATGCTTCCATCCTTTTACAATCATGACTGTGGTAAAGTTCTTCCCAATGTTTTATCAAGCATAGTTATTCTCTCGTGATTTGGTTAATATTAGTTTTCACTAGGTCTTACATGATACCAGTGCTAGTCATCTCCATGATTAATTGCAATAAGGGCAGATGGTATTGGAGTGCAAAACTCATTTTAAATCGAAAGATTAACCATGCATAACGATAATAGTTGGGGATCGTATAATTGGATAAATGGTGATAAGGATGAATTTAGACTTGCTTTTGTAATAACAAATATAAATATCCTGCATACTTGGAGAAGACGCAATGTTTAACATTGCTCAGTTTGTTCCCATCCCTTAGATGTTGGTTGTTTAGATCCAGTTGGGTGGTGA